TTTTCTTTTATATTTTAAGTATTTAATAATACTTTTATATTATTTATCTAATAAATTAAATACTTTATTCAAGTTATTTGAGTCAAACATGTTGGTAAGTTAAAACATAATATAATGTTAAAAATTATAGATATTAAATGTAAAAAAAACACACATATATATATAAACATTTTTATAGAAATTTAGAACAAAAATTTATCATTTATTAAGTAATTTGAAGAAAAAAAATATATTGAATAGTGAAAATAAGATTGAATCAAACTTATTTAAGGGAAAGTGTAAACAAAATTTTGCAATATATCACAAGTTTAAATTTGAGCCATATGAATGCTTCATTAATATGGAGAGAAAAAGACAAAGATTGTTGAATATAATGGGGAGGTGTAGGGTATTTTTGGAATAAAAGAAAATAGTGGGGAGGTGTATAGTATTTTTGGAATAAAAGAAAATAGTGGGGAGGTGTAGGAGCACTTGGGGTGGTGGAGGGAGCAACACCCTAATTTTAAATTTAAACCTCTATAAAAGCTCATAAAATAAAATGTATTATATTTTAATTATGATTGATCCTAATTAAAATTTTGTGTTTTAATTTTTCCTAAGTTGCTGCCTCTCGTATGTTACTCTAACTTACAATGAATCTATTCCCATCCCTTTCACTAAAATGAAAAACCCAGCAAAATAATATACCTTTGCTCTAGCCAAGGCTTGAACACATCACCCCTAACTTCCAAACAAAACACTAAACTAAGTAGACTAGCACAATTAACTTGTCAAACACATGCATATAAATTATTACAAACAATATATATTGCGCACATGTATTATGCACACAACAAGAATCAAACTCATAACTAACCCATAATAAAGAGCTTTAAGTGCCACACCTATCTTTTGTATTCTTTTATTAATTAATGACATCACATTCACCACCTTTCTAGATTTTTTTTCTATGTCTTTAGCTAACTTGCATCATGAGCCATAGGTCACTCAAAATTATTAGCGTTTCAACAAGTTGGTCATCATGTGGGCAAGGAGTTGATTCATTGGTTAACTGACGTTGAATTCAATTCTACTCATGTTCATGTCTTAGTCAATTCCACTAAAGTTAAATCATACCTTGAGTATGTTTGAATCCCAATTTGTGCAACCTAGTCACAAAATTTCTATACTCACTAAATGTCTTCATATTTCAAATCTCATTCCTTGTGGTTAAGCAAGTCCCAAAAGGAAGCGCTTATACTTGAATACACTTAGAGTTTCCTCATTGGTTCAGATATCAAGTATCCATTAATTATAAAAATAATTGGTTGGAGGATTGATGTAACTCTTCATTGTGACATTTTTAGGTTTATAACTAGCTATTAAGTCCCACAATTCAAGAGTTAAGGGATTTGGAAAATTGGCTCATGAGATGTGTGAAAGAATGAGACACGTACTAATGGGTATAAGTTCCATACTAATGCATGGCTTAAAGGGAAGAAGAGATTAATTGTGTTGTGTATGTCAAGGACCTTACAAAAGGTGATTATAAAAATTGCTATGGGATAATCAAAAAATATATAAGTTAAAGTACAACACTTCTACTTCTCCAAAGAGAGTTGTTGTTTTTTTATTGTGAATGATTTTATCCTTCTAGAAGTGGTACAAAAGTGGATGTTAGGTATAATTTGGAACTTGAAATGAGTTTAAGATACCGACCATTTAATCCATTCATTCTGCCTAATAATGTTAGACAAGTTTATTATGTCCCATATCTAACATTTCGTAGTATTGACAAACGTGGTTAGTGTGTTGCAATACAAACCAATCCTAGACATTACATTGAGTCAAATGCATGGAAGAGGATATCCCCTACCAAGTTCATGAAATGTCACATGCCCCGTGAAATGATTGAAGTTGAAGGAGTATCTACATTGCATGACTCTGATGGTGATCTTGACGAATTGGAAGGAGAAATACAAGAAAAAGAATAAAAAGTCTATCATTATAAGTATACATGTTTGTTTAGCTTTATTTCAAAATATATCCTTGACTTAATCTCTTTATTGTTTTGCTTTATTTTATATCATTTGATTATAGTAATGTCAGGAGAACATCATCTTGTGATGACAAAGGGAAAGGGATAGAAAAACCAATGAGGCAGTCACACTATATTTTAAGGGTTCCTCTAGTACTACCATCCACAACTATCCCAACTCTACTTAAAGTCACCACGTGTACCACACCTTGCTTTAGTACTCATACCACACCCTCTTATAGATTCCACACTATCTAATTTACACACTCCTTCTATACCCACCTCATTGTCAATACCATCTCTAGATATACCCAATCCATCAAATGTTCCTAGTTCACGTATGTTGATGGAGTTGAACCTCCTCTCCACGATCGACTGATGACTTAATTAATTATCTTTGTAATTAATTTCTATTACATGACTTGTTTTACTTTGCCTTAATTTTGATGTCTTTTTTGTATTCAGATTTAGGTTTCTTCCTTCTAGAGTTGTTTTTCAGGTCATCACAAGGTTTATTAAGAAAATTTTCTAAAGCCTTGACCATCATAAGAGCAATACCTCCAAAAGACAAAGATTCATTCTGACAGTGATTTAAGGTGAAACGTCATTAAACTAATTATCATTTTTATTGATATATTTTAAGACATCTACAAAAAATAGTACATGAAGATGATTGATGTATGGTTTATTGTTACATATGAAGGTTTAATGGAGACTTGGGAATGAAGCTTAAATTCAAAAAAAATTCTATAACAAAGCATCCCATAGGCTATTTGAGATGTTTAAAGATGCAAGAAATGCAAGAGAATATCCTTATTAGATGAGGGAACATATCTGGAACTTGTTGCTAAGACATTGGAATTCTCTAGATTATCGCATCAAATGTGTTATCGCCCAAAGGAATCGAACTTCAAAAAAGGGTGAGACTCTACATATAGATTACTCCATTACCATTACCAACCATCTTCTTCCACCAATGATGAGGAGGTCATTGTCCAACTCACACAGCGACTAGAAAGATGTGATTGGGAATAAAAAATTTGAAAGAAGAGTTTCCCAATTTCAAACAACTGGTAATGACATTGCTGCCTTTATTTTCACAACCTCAGTCTAGCATCCCTTTTGCCTAACTACAAACCTCTCTACCAGAGCCCACCTTGACCACCCCACATCAATTCAACAACCTAACACCCTAAACAAGTAGAAGGCAATGAAGATGACTATTTAGATTATTTGGTTATTATTTATGTATAGGAACATGTAGTACCTTTGATGACTTTGTGTACATATTATTTATGTTTTATAAACATATACTTTGTTTGTGTATCATGTTTGGCTTAATATTGTTCATTGAAGTTATACTTTGTGGCTAAATATTGTTCATTGCACTTAGATTTTGTGATTAGATATTGTTCAATGACCAAGTTTGATTGTTTAATTGTGTATGAATACGCCACCACTAACACATTATACTTGAATTTGCCACGACCTTATTGACGAACTTATTGAATGATATATCCTTCAATAATTACTATCAGACATATCCTTAGGTAATTATCGAGGGATATATCTTTCGTCAATTATCCGCGGATATGTCCTTCGATAATTATCGACAGATATTTCATGGGTAATTTAAGAAGGATATATCTGTCGACAATTATTGATGGTCAATATTCATTGGTAATTTTTACCGACAGGGTTATTATGGACAAATTTCAGGTCGTCAATAGTTCGTCAAAAAACAACTATTAGCATCAGATTTTGGCTTTTTTCGATGGATTACTAACATCGATAATTCTAGTTTGTTTTGTAGTTTCAGTTGTGCAACAACAACACAATAAAGAAAAAGAAAGCAATTATGATGACGATGTAGATTATTAGGACTTAATTACTTTGTAAACATAAACTTTGAAAACTTCTATATGTGTTTTAATTATATTATGAACATGTTTGTCTAAATATATTAATGTCTTTTTGGATTTGATTATGTGTGTTTTTTGTCTACTTGGTTTTATGTCAAGGATTCAATGTGTGATAAGAACTAGCTTACTATACTTAAATTTGTTGCACCATTTATCATCAATAATGTCACATACTAGATCACGCAACTTACCAACATATATATTCTTTAGTAATAACTGAGGGATATATCATTCAATAATTACCAATAAATATTGTGAATTGGTAATTACATGTAGACATCGCTTATTGGTAATTACAGAGAGATGTCTATCGTTAATTACCATCGAACGATATCTGTCAATAAATATATTATCGATATCATTTTTATTAACGAATTCTTGTTTATCGATAATTCTTCGATAAACAACTATTGTTGATGGATTTTTATTGTTTCTAATGGATAAATGACGTCGATGCAATTTTATTTTGTAGTGTGTAGAAAACAGATAAGTAAAGATATATAATTATTAGTATTTAGATAAACAATCCTATAATTTAGATAAAGATATAGTGATTTTTTCTACATAGATAAATAATAATCAACATTAGATAAAGAATTTAATGGAATAACGTACCTACTATATATCCTTTGAGCCACCTATGACACTTGGTATCGTTCAATTCAGTCAAGTACATAATCTAAGAGTCTGTTCAAAAATCTCATGTAAGCAATTCTCCATGGTTGCCAAAGTAGCATTGATCCTAATAAGCCCCAAAAGCCTACAAAGAAACCTAGCCCCAAGCTCATGTATAATGCTCCATAGAAATTTGAATTCTCTGCTCCATCGATTGCTGGTTGTTGAGTTTTTTTTGTCTCATCTCCTGGACATCTTTTGTTGAGTTGCTCTCCACAAAGATTAATATTTCCTTCAAAACAAGAGGCATCAAAGGTTTCAAAATGTCTTCCCCATGGGATTCTTCCACTGAGATTGTTGTTTGATAGGTCTAACACTCCAAGACTATCAATGTTGGGAAGAGTCGAAGGAATATTGCCGGAGAAATTATTTCTTGATAAGTCTAGAAATTCCAGCGAACTTAAATTCCCAATTTCTAAAGGAATCTCTCCATAAAAGTTGTTTCTTGATAAATTCAGAGAAACCAATCCAAGTAAATATCCAATCTCTTTGGGTACTTCACCTGTTAAACTGTTACTTGAGAGGTCAATGCTTTTAAGAAGATTCTTTGGAATCCAGAAGTCGTAATCATGCCCTTTCCACGTCAATAGCAAGTAAGAGTCAGAACTAAAAGCAAGCAACCCTCGACTTGAAAATTTTCGTCCCGTTACTGCCTGGAATACGCTCCTTTCCATCATTGCAGAAAAATTCCTCAAACATGTTGGAATTTTTCCTGACAAGTTATTCCTTGAGAGGTCCAAGACTTGAAGTTGGCTCAAATAGCAGAGTTGTTCAGGGACACTTCCAAAGAAGCCATTTACTCGCATGCTCAAGATTTTCATTTTTTGCATACTTTCCCCAATCCAAGAGGGTATTGGTCCTGACAACAAATTTTCACTCACGTCCAATAAAGCCATCTTAGAACAATTCTTCAATTCGAGTGGCAGTTCTCCAATAAAATTGTTGTTTCGCAAGACCACAGTTTTCAAATTAACCAGAGTACCCATGGACTGTGGAATCTTCCCTGATAATTTATTATTTCTTAGATCAAGAAATTCTAGTGAATTTACATGTTCCCAACACTCAGGAAGTTGTCCAACTATTTGATTATTTGATAAATCCAAAGTGGTCATATAGTTTGGTACCCTATTGCCACACAGTGTATTAAAATCTGAAAATTTATTTTCGGACAGATCCAGTGTGCCAGCGTTAAGCAAAAATGTAGGAATTACACCTTCAAGTTTATTTGAATTTAGAATTATTGCAAGGGGATGATATTCGACAAACTTCATCGTTAAATTCGGTATCACACCTTTGAGACTGTTGTAAGACATATTCGTCTCACTTATAAACTGTAAATTGTTCCAAAACCAGTCTGGTACAAAGTCATCGATTCCCGCATCAGAAATATCCAGAAATTCTAACTGACTTTGAGTCTGGAGCCAACTTGGGAAGCTAGAACCCAACTTGCAAGAAGCTAGGCCCAATTTACGTAATTGGAAGGGTGGAGTCCAAGTGGTAGCAAACTTTAGAGACAGTGAGTTGTCTGATAAGTCTAGCTTTATCAATTTTGACAAATTTGTAAAATGAAATTCATTGATATCACCCTCCAGGTAATTCTCCTCAAGATGAAGAGACTTCAACTGATAAAGAAACCAAAGGGAAGCTGGAATCTTGCCTTTTAGTTTGTTAGAACCGAGGTCAAGATCTTTGAGAGAGCTCATTACTTTCCCCAATCCGTCTGGAATGGAACCTTCTAACAAGTTATACCATAGGGAAAGTCTTTGAAGATTGGCGGAGAAGTTGGAAACCCAATGAAATACAACGGATGATTTCAATAGATTAAAGGAGAGATCAAGGGTGAGAAGAGAATGAAAATTCTTAATGTAAGCAGATGACACAAAAAAGCTTTTATCAGTGAGACTGCATTCAATCAACTCAAGGTCTTGTAGTTTGGTGCTGAAGTTGAGATTTCCTTGAAATATTGATGTATGGGTCAGATTATTCCCAGAGAGATCAAGGATCACGAGAGAAGGGAAGTTTAGATAAAGAGCAGACGACAAAACAATTTCATTGTTATAAAGAAGAAGCTCTTGAAGATTAGGGCTATAGTTGGACAACAACTGGAATGTTGATGACGTGAGCAAATTATTAGAGAGATCAAGGATGGAAAGAGAAGTCGAAATGTTGGAATCAGAAGGAAACAACGGTAAAAAATCAGCATCTGAAAGTCCACAACTTTCTAGATTTAACTCTCTTAAGTTTGGAAGACGCTGACTAATAATTTGAAGCCAGGGATGAGAGAAGTTAAGATAAGAAAATGAATCGAGACTGAGAATTGTTAATAAAGACAGAGAAGATAGCCAATTTTCATCTTTTATTTTAAGACCAAAACGGCCATCAAGTATAAGAAAATGCAGGAGAGGGAGATTTCCAACCTGGAAAGGGAGTTCTCCCGAAAGTGAATTTTCTGAAAGATCGAGATATCTCAAATATGACAGACTTCCAAGTTGAGAAGGAATCTCACCATAGATGTAATAATTGGCACTTAGATCAAGACACTCTAATTTTGAGAGATTTCCCAGTTCATAGGGAATTGTGCCTGAGAAAGTTGATTGTGATAGGTTGAGATATCTTAAACTTTGGAAGGAGCCGATGGATGATGGAATTTGACATCCAATGGAACCATCATTAGAGCTGAGATCCAAGTATTCTAACTTTTGCAAGTCAACCAATGAAGTGATATTGATTGAACCTAACAAAAACTGTTGTTCCGAACCACGAAGATCAAGCATCTCTACGTGACCAGTTTCATCGTTGCATTCAATACCTTCCCATCTGCAACAGTCTCTGCTATTTTCATCGTTCCTCCACGTGGACAGCATGCCATAGTAATCTAGGACATTTTGTTTGAAATTGAGGAGTGCATGTCTCTCCCTCTCTATGCATTTTACGTAAGAACCCTGTGATGGTGAGTTGAATCCAAGAACGGATACTATGATATGCAGAAGGCACACAAACACTACCAACAGCATTTTGAGGAAATAACTTCCCATTGCAATTTTCTAGATATGAAATTTGTGTATCATATGAGTAAAGAACAAACACTACTAATTCCGATTTTGTTGTATGTATTAAATGCTCCGCATTAGGGTTTAAGTAGTTGTATAATTTGCATGGATATGAGGCAGACTTTTTCTACGCTTGTCTTTATTCACAATTAAAAGTCAAGCAAGGAAGAAAGTTGCAAAGTATAATTATAAAAATAAAAAGATAATCGATCAAATTATTGTGGTCACTCGCATGACTGATTATTGGTATCAATCTATGGGACACATCCTCCTTTATTACAATATGATGAGACTTGGAGATGGATCTTGTTCGTGGAAGAGATGAAACATCAACTTCATGGACTCCTTTAACTTTTACTTCGTCAATCACTCTTCCTTCCTACTTCCAGTAGTAGTATTCGTTCTGCACATGCTTGCAAAAGATTTTCCAATGCTTAAATAAACTATGTATTAATGAAAAGTCAAAATCGTAATTAATGTGAAAAAATAAATACAAATCTCGATTATGGTTGTATTTATAACATAATTTGATACTTATGAACCCTCATCTGAATGACCTTGAGTGTGGGCCTGATGGCCGAATACTCCATTTACATGAAGAGATGGTAAGCCAGTTTTGGCTAAGTTATACCGTGTATAGTTCATCATTATCTTCAACCGCCAATACATGGAACTTGTAGAAAGATATAGCCTTCGACTAGTGGTAGACAACATGAAGTCATGACTAGTGGTACACACTCGATAAGATACCTAGTCTTCGATAGACAATGCTTAACCTTTGGATGGTAGTAATTAGCCTTTGCCATACGACACATAATCCTTGACCTTCGACATGCAAATCTCAACCTTTGAAAAATGGTAATCACACTGCTCTTTGCATATGCAGTTGTATACCTCTGGACCAACGTTCGATATGTAGCTTTGGCCCTTGATATGTAGCTCTATACCTTTGGAAGGAATACCCGGTCTTCAACATCGGCATGAGACACTGAATCTTTAGGTAGCATTTACTTCTTAGTGAGTAACATACAACTTTCAACAGGAAATATCCAAAGTGTGTTGTACAACAAATTGTTATAAGAAAAGATTAATGTTAACAAAATCGAAATGTATTATACATAGTACAAATCTTATCCCATTAATTTAACATTTTTGTCAGCGTAGATTCTTTATTTACAATTGTTCTAGAACTTTTGTTAGAAGAAAATCCATATAAGAGTTAATTAGATGTTCACTTTTTTTTTCATATTGATAATTAAATTTTAATTAATAAATTATTTTGTAAAATTTTATAAAGTTATCGCTTAATCCATTACATTAAAAAAATAAAGCATGATCAACTATAATAGAGATAGAGAAGAAAGTATAACCATGTAGTTAAACTAAATAATGAAGTGTAATGAATGAGTTTCCAAGTATATTTATTTTTATAAATTTTAATTATATTAAAATAAATAATTTCCCAGTATTGAATATGAATTTCAATTATATAAAAATAAATATTTTTCTTGTATATTCAACGTAGAAAAATAATAGTTATATAGAAGTTGAAGGATAAGTGTTGTAATAGATTGCGACCATTCACGTTCATGATTTTGGCTTCGCTTATTATTATTGAATTATTAGTTGTCCAAGGAAAATGATGGTGCAAAAGCTGAGTCTTCACTCTATTATATTTCCACACATAAGCCAAAATCACCTATAAAGAAACACATTATGATCAACTTTAAAATATCCAACTCAATTTTTCTTTTCCTTATTTTCTACCACATAACATCGATGCCAATTAATTATTTTGTCTCTTCATTTCCGAACCTGTCCTATTTTTGTTGAAAAATCCTTCCATTAATTTGATATATGTGACTACGGTAATATTTTCAAAATTAACTTCATTTCCTTATATGTACTAATCGTTCTTACTCTTATTTAAATTACTAAAATGTTCATTATTTACTAAGTATGAAGGCATCGGTTACTCTTAACCGAGACAATAGACCTCCTTCTACTGCATCAGTTCCTCTTAACTGAGACAATAGACCTTGCAATAAAAAAAAGAAAAAAAAATTATATTAAATATCCTCTATCGTCTAGGTTGCATTTGAACTGAGGCAAAAGTCTATCCCTTTTTACCTCTATTCTGAATTGAGGCAAAAAACCTATCCTTTTTTGCCTCGCCTATACATACCTCGGTTTGTCAACCGTTGTATACAGGCGAAAATAACAGTTGTTGTTTCCTTTCACTGCACTAGTGTTGGTATGTTGTAATTAGTGATATACAAATTAACTATATTTTTAAAATAAATATGTTAGTTGTTAGTTGTGAGTTTCTTTTATATATATATATATATATATATATATATATATATATATATATATATATATATATATATATATATATATGCAATTGTAGTTTTTAAATTATTTTATGATATAATTTGTTTATAATCATTATAAAGTTATCATGTATTGAATGATAATTTAATTATAAGATTTTGGATAAATTTATTAGAAAACCGAGTTAGTTAGGATTTTACAGAGATTTATCATAATCAATTAAGATAAAAATAAGTTTATTTTATAAAGATAATGGATTTTATAGTGTTTTTGTTATTGCTTCCAATTAGTATACCACCATCTATATTAATTTACGATACATGTTTGGAGCCTACATTCTTGATGTTTGTCATTCTTGACTTTTATTCTAATTGGCTGCATGTTATATATATATGATCTCTTGGTATTGTTAAATTGTCGTTGATGCACTCTTTTCTTAGGCTGGCTGGTATGAACTTTAACATTTGTATGAAGGTATTGATAGTGCGTGAACGTTATTTTGATGAGAAATTATTCATTCAATTATATATTAGATATACCTATGCTACCACTATATGCATCTTATCTACTAATTCACGTGATTTATAAATTCTGTCTTGGGCTGATTAATTAACTACTTTTGTTCACCTAATTTTATAAACCAAATGAGCTATTATTGCTCTGCTTTGGGTCTGATTGGGTTTTATAGCTGATGTATCCATGACCATAAAGTCTAAACTGATACTGATGTTATGATTGTTTTATTTTGATACTGATTTAATTGCAAAGTTACTGTAACCGTGACATTACAGTCTAAAATATCATTGTTGTTGCACTATTTCTGTTTTGGATTTGAATAAGTTTTGTGGATGTAGTGAATTCATGTCTCCCTGACTAAATAAGTGAGGTTGAAAGCCTTTTGTATCCTTCGTTAATTCTACTTAAATTGTTGCTTGGTATTAACCGCATGTTGCTTTGAACTATGTTGTTCTATGTGTGGCTGGCTCTTTGTACCTTGTTGCTCTGCACTAAAACCTTGTTGTTTTGACTAAGATGATGAACCAAAACCTTGCTCTTTTGAATGAAAATTCTGCATCGAATCATTGTTATTTTTGCAGTAATCTCTGCATCAAATCCTTGATGTTCTAGCTGTAATTTCTACATCAGAATGTTGTTGTTTGCACCATTGTTGGGTTGTTAATATCTGTTTTTCTTAAACAGTAATAGAATGACATGATTTAAAGGGTAGAATGGGATGTTACTAGTTAAACTTTGGGGTATAATGAATTAGTTCATAGGAGTTGGAATTTCGGTTTGAATACATGCTGAAGATAACTCTGAACTATATGAGATATGTTTTGTATGGATGTTGTCTTGCATAAGTGTTGTTGCATATTAATACTCCAGAAATTTGGTTACGTACAGAAATAAGTTAACATGTGAAATGTTAAATGTTCTAGTGTTAAGGTATGCATAGAAATCGGTGAATTAGTTGGTTGAAGTTGAACTAGCTTAGGTGTAGCATCTTTTAACACATAATTAATCTGCATAATTGAATTATATGTTTTAATGGAACATTGTGATACATTATTAAGTCCAATTAAAAATATGGTTTTCTATATCCCATTATCCATATTTAGATACCTATTACGTGATAGACTACAAATTTTGTCAATTTCATTTGCAATTTTCTAACTAATTTGATCTTTTTCAAAATAAGTAGATAAAAGAATTGGGATCAATTGTGGAAGCATGCTCGTGTGAACAAAAGCGGGCCAATTGAAAACGAAAAAATTCAACAAGTTTGGAACAAATGTGTAAGTAATATGTTTTCATATTATATTTGTGTGCATGAAATGAGAATAAATGTGATATGTTTAGTTGTTGTTTAAGTAATATTGTCACAAACTAATTCAAAAGAGGTGAGTCATAATCACTTCGACCGTCTGAGTCAAGCTTTATGTCTCCTAGAGTATCCATGTCATGTTAGGGGATTGGGATTTTGGAGTTGGTCAAAGAGGTTATTTCCCATCAAACCATACATACCGTGAGCATGATAAATTGAATGCTCAATTGAAAGACAATGTGGAAAGAATTGCACGGATGGAAAATGAGATGATTTCGCTTCAAAATATTAGCACACCAAATTGAAGAAGCTAACATTAATAGTGGCCAAGGAAGTTTCACATTGTCATGAAATAGTTTTCCCGTGGTAACATAGGTCTTCATATTTAGTCACATTGGAGATTGTCTTATAATTATGTTTTCTATATTAGAAGTAATGTTAGTGTAATTTTTTTACTTTAAAAGCTCTCTACATTTAGTCACTTTAAATAATTTATCTTATAATTATATTTTATAAAGTACGGGGTTTCAAGTTGTAAATTGTTTGTATTATCACCATCACTCTACTTGGTTACCCATGAAAAATTGCATAATTTTAAAAGTGATACACTACATGGTAGACCTCTACCTAAGGGACATGTCAGTTAGTATAGATATTGCTTTGGAGCCAAATGTCCTTGACTATACGTATTGTTGATGATGACATGATGACAATAGGACAAGCAATAGGTACATTTGTGGCATGGCCATTCCATTTCATACAGGTTGTTGATGAGGTATGTTTATACAATTGTATTCATTCATATTTATGAACATATTTTTATCTA